TATTATTATTATTATTATTATTATTATTATTTTAAATAAGGGCAAAACTTCATTAATGGTCCCTATGGTAGTGAAAAGACAGAAATGCCCTTCAATTAACAGCCAAAAGCTAACGGAGTTAGCGAAAAGGACCATTTGTTAAAAGTTTTGAAACCACAGGGACCATCTGTGAGGTTTTTAAAGATTAAGGACTAAACTTCAGATTTTCGAAAACCACGGGGACCATTTTTGAAGTTTTGTCTTATTTTTATTAGTTGTATCTTTTAACAACATAATATATAGATATTGGGGTTTAAAACTAGTCCATGTGTTTGTAACATATAAAGGTTAAACCAATATTTTATAAACTAGTTATAGTTTCTACATAAAATAATAATATTTTATGTGTATTTTTGTATTATCTAGCACAAGTAGTACATATATTCTCCTCCGAAAATATATAAAAGAGAGGCTGTAACATTCATCTTAACGTGTGGTTGTTGATTTGTTTCGAGAATTTGACGCGAGAAACCGAGATGTGCCGCTTCTAAAACGAACCGCCGGGATTAATTTAGTTTCCTAGGAAATTTTGATATAAATTAATAAGTGGGTGTTGTATTGTAACTAAACCCAAACTGTAGGGCCCATTTACTAAATTAAATAAATAGAATGGGACCAAATTTGTTAACTATTTCCAAATGAGGGACTGTTTTAAATATTTTGGAATAAAAGTTTATATGTTTAGGACTTGTTTTGAAATTAATTTCTCAAGGAGGGTTTAAACTATTTAAATAAAATGAAAGTTTAATTGATTTGGACTGAAAGAATTTTCGAGTGAGGGGGTTCAGAATTATTTTGAAATGAAGTTTAGGACATTAGGACTTCTTTTTTAAAGGAATTTTAGGAGGGGTTGAGATTTAAACAATTAAAAAGGAAGTTTGAGTTTAGATGGGTCTCTGTACGCATGCTCGAATGCAAAAGAAAAAAAAGATTGGAATTCGTTTTGGCTGTGACGATCGACAGGAAAACAATACACAAAAATAAATAATTTATCAGAGGTGTAGAGTACTTACGAAACATCACATCAATACAACCGATGGTGGTGGTGGCTGGTGATCTATATAGCGATAGTGAGCTCCGGTGGTGGCATGCTGCCTCGTCCTTGCTTTGTTTTTCTTACAGAAATCGATGAGAGGGAGAGAGGGAAGGGATGGGAGAAGGCTCAAGTGGTGATTTTGATCAAGGGAGGTGGAAACGGTGGTGGAATAATGTGATGATGTTGGTGGTGATTTAATAAGAGAGAGAGAGAGAGAGAGAGAGAGAGAGAGAGAGAGAGAGAGAGAGAGAGAGAGAGAGAGAGAGAGAGAGAGAGAGAGAGAGAGAGAGATGAATGCCGAGACTTGAGTGAGGATTGGAGAAAAGAATGGCTCTTTTTATAGTTGAAGAAGGCGCACACAAGCCTTGAAGTGTTGTGCTTCCAACCAATGCTTGTACTTTGTAGTTGAAGTGTGTACACTTAGAGGGATGGGTAGAAGAAGACGAAAACATGGGTGAGGCAAGAGGAGGGAATTAATCCAAATCAGATTTTTGAGACTAACATGCCTTTGTGGGCCCCACAATGAGGTCCTAATCCCATTAACTGCCCAAAACAATCATAATTTGGTGTATTGAGATCCCGACGTCAAATTTTTTTTCGAAAGTGTCGTTAGATAGAGCCGAGTTCAAGGATTCCGAAAACCCGAACATATTAATTTTTCGAGTTATAGAACTTCGGGAAATTACGTTTTAAGTTTCACGTCTAAATGGACCGAACGCTTGATTTTTCGACTTTTGCAAATATTTTGTTAAGAATATTTTGAGTATGAATTAAATATTAGACCACAGCCTGAGTCCAAAAACATTCTCGGAATTTACGTCGGAGGTGTGCAAGTGCCTCATCGGATCGATTCGATTTTAGCAATTTAAAGAAAGTCAGTGTTTTACTAATTTGTTTTCTTATAACTGTCGTATCTTTTGCATACGAACTCCGTTTGGACGTTCTTTATATTTTTGGAAACAGGAGAACATGTATTATGAGATAAAAATGTCCGATTCGCTCATAACTGCTTAATACGAATTTTTAGTTTTTCAGGTGTATTAACTAGCTAGGGTTGAAGTGTGAGCTGTTTGATTCGTTTGTCAGTTTACACATTTGGAAGTAAGATATCATTTGCTATCTTATATTAGTTGAAACGAACTCATTTATTTTACTTTAGATGCACTAAAACTCAATGAGTCAAATTACAAAGAGATTTACTGTGAATTGACCATCCACAGTCTTTGACTTAAATTCGGGGATGTCATATTACCTCCCCATTAAGGGAATTTCATCCCAAAATTATTAAGTTCTAGGCTACTTTGTTTTACTATTATTTCGTTCCACTAGTGGAGGGAGCACCACTGAACAATTGTGGATAATTTTGTTTCATTGGATGCTCACGTTCCCAAGTAAACTCCAGACCTTTACGAGAGTTCCATCGGACTTTCACTATAGGTATGCAGCTTTGCTTGAGGCTTTTGATTTGTCGATCCAGGATCTCCATTGGTTCCTCCATGAAGTGAAGTTTAGAATTGACCTAGATCTCATCGAGTGGAATGACGAGGTTCTCATCAGAGAGACACTTTTTAAGATTACATTCGTGGAAGGTATCGTAAACTTTGCTGAGCTCTTGAGGTAACATGAGTTTGTAAGCCACCAGACCAACCCTTGCCAGGATTTCAAAAGGTATGATGTAATGGGGGTTTAGTTTACCTCGTTTTCCAAATCTAATGACTCCCTTCCATGGTGCAACCTTTAGCAAGACACGGTCTTCTACTTTAAATTACAATGGTTTGCCTCTTATGTCAGCATAACTTTTCTATTGACTACATGTGACCTTTAATCATTCCTTTATCTGAATGATCTTCTCTGTCGTTTCATGAATGATCTTGGGACCAGTGAGTAGAGTATCCCCAACATGCTTTTTAGCTAATTGAGTATCTCCAACTCTTACCCAACATATCAGAGAACGACATCTGCGCTCGTACAAGGCCTTAAATGGAGCGGCCTTTATGCTAGTCTGATAACTATTCTTGTACAAGAATTCAACTAATGGCAAGCGAGTGTCCCATGCATTACTGAAGTCTATTACACAATCACAAAGCATATCTTCCAGAGTTTGTATTATTCTTTCTCTTTGGCCATATGTTTGAGGATGGTATGTTTCCTTTTTCTTCAAGCTTTACGAAAACAAGAACAAAGCTCAAGAATCAAGTACGGGGCTAGGGTTTGAACCCCATCTGTCACCGTGCTGTGGTGAGGAATCCACCGTGCAGCCACTTATCAATGTCTCCCGCATCGTGGTGAGGACTCCACCATCTTTGATAGTTGAAAATTCTAGCTTTTATTCTATTGAAAATTGTAAATAATAAACTATGTAATAAAATGGATGATGAATTTATTGATGATAGTTTGGTTCTTTACATCGAGAAAGATATCGTTAATCTTTTCAGTTTAGATGATTTTAATAATGTAAGAGAGCGTCGTATGCAACTTAAATGGATAATTTACTTTAGAATGCATACATTGTTACATTTTGTTATCATTCGAAGTATTTTTCTACACGCTTATATTTTGTAAATTATTTGGCTTACCCTAAATTAAAATCATGGCTAGGCCACTTCTTCTTGAAGGGAATATTAGTTGATAGTAGAAGTAATATGTTTGTAGGGAAATCATATACAATGAACTTTAAATGACATTCTTAGTGTACATATTTCATACTAGGAAGCATGGAATGCAAAAATACATGCTTTAAATCTGTTGAGAGGGACCCTAAAGAAAGTTGTCAAAGACTTCTTTTATATTGTTACAATTTGGAGAGAAAGAATCCAGAGACCGTTACACATATAAAGACTAGTTACAAAATCAAATTTGAATACTTTTTCATGAGCATCAGTTGCGCGGTAATATTCTTATATAATGAGTAATTTAAATTCTTGTTATATCTGTATTCGATTTAATGACCAATCTATTATATTATTGTGTAGGTTCGAGCATCTAAAACATGTTTGCGTCATATTATTATAATTAATGGAGTATATCTTTAAGGGAAATATTTGGGCACAATGTTCCTAGCGGTAAGCATGGACGATAATAACCAAATCCTCCCAACAACATTTGGTGTTGGAAAAAACAAAAAGTGGGGATTCATGGATATGCTTTTTTATCAAGATTCAAAGAATGTGTTAGGAACATGAAATATTTTGGCTATCATATCTGATAGAGCCAATTCCATTGAAATGAACATTCAAGCCTAGTTTCGAATGCATATCACGGACTCTTTTGTCACCGTTAGTTGATGAATATGAGAACAAAGATCAGCAAACAAGACATAATCGAAATTTTATTTTGAGAGGTTGCAAAAGCTTACCGAGATATTGATTTCAAAGAAAGCACAAAATAATATATGGCATGTACTATTTGATGACTGTCATACATGGATAAACATACTTGGTAACCAAAAATGGGCTAGGTCGTGTTTCCTTATTGTTCGTTATAACTTAATGAAATCAAACTGAAGTGTGTTAGTATTGATTACGAACACAAATGATACTCAGAAAACGGTTAATAACACAAGATCTAAATATAATTTGGTTGGTTCGTATTCAAGTCTGAAATGAGTACAAGAGTTTGAGAATACAAAAGATAGAATAACGCATTATTTTCTCTCCGCCTTGTAACACTTGCACTTCACGTGGAGCATTAGTTGGTAAACTAAGAACCAACTCAAGGATTGGAGCAAGCTCAGATTTGATATTGGGCTCAATATTCAAAATCAATTGAGAAAGATACTCTTGAGATACTGTCTATTGATTCGAAAGATCAACCTTGGAAATAGACTCCTTGATACTTGACAAAAATTCTTCCATCTTCTCAAACAACTGAATATCCTTTTCTGACTTGGATTCAAGCTTATTCGTATACTCAAAATTAAACTCAATCAGTTTAGTGATAACAGTGCAATGAAATAGACTTTTCCATGCACTGAGGTGTAGTTTTGCTCCATTTTCTGAACTTCTTTCGACAACTCGGATTTGAGTTCAACAATTTTGAGATCCACAGACTCTTTCATTGTAGTTACTTGTTCAATAAAGAGTTCATGACGTTCCTTTGCAACGTCACGGAGCTTCTGAATCTCATAGTCATAGCACTTGGAATGAAACACTAACTTTTCTGCTTGTTTCTGCTCAATTCCCTCAATCAAGTTTCGGAAGCGATTTTCTTGAGCTTTCATCAAACATTCCATTTCAATGCCAGTCACAAAGTTCTTTCCTCCTGTATCTGCTTGTATCCGAAGAAGAGAATTGATTTTTCGAGTTAAGGATCTTGAACTGTTTACCTGCCATGATTAAGTTATCAGGAACATTCTCCTCCTCGGGATCAAATTGAAGATCAACAAATGATACCATGATATCATCATCATTAGGTTCTTTGTCATGAAACAATTTCTTAACCTCAGTTGATTGACATGAGAAAAGAGTTGTAATAGGTTCATGCATGATATCATAATATGTTGGTGATATGGTCGAAGCTGTAACTGAAGTTGTAACGGGTGATGGAATTGGTGGTAAAGTTGTTGAAGTTTCAACAGTGTAAGTTTCGATTGTAGATGTGTTGATGGTGGAAGTTTCAATGGTAGAAGTAACAGGTGATTCATTTTTATGAATCCCTTCATCCATGTTGACATGTGTGTCCTTATCAAATAAGTTCATAGGGATGTCTGGATTTCGAACCTCCTCCGTATTGGACTCAGTATGTGAAACCCCGGATGGTATGACCAAAGTCTTCTCAAGGATGGATGTCAGTGGATGATCACTTAAATTGATGTTTGTATCCATATTAGATACATTTACATTGACACCAGGATTCCCTGTCGCTTCAAAATTTGACTTGAGAGGAGAATGCATTCAAGGTGATCCAATAATAGAGTCTTCAATGCGAATATCTGACCTTTCACTATCACTTTCGTGATCAATTTCGACCGTCACATTTTCAAGTGGAACCAGATTCTTACGTTTCTTCTTTTGGAACTTGTGAGCCATATGAAGTGCTTGATGCTTCTTCAATGTTGGGGAAACAGGAACAAATACTTCACGAAACAAAACACCTTTCCTGTAATCGAATCTTCTTTTTACCCTTCTGAGAAGAAATAGTATTTGAAGAATCAACATTTGTTGGCTCAGCACTTTCAATTTTTAGGTTCTTGTAAAGGTTGCTTGATTGGTGAATCAGTAGGCTTCTTTGCTGGTTTCTTCGTTCTTTTGAGAATTCCCGATTTCGATGGGATGATTTCTTTCATAACTTCCTCCTCTGCAGTTGATGGTTTTTCAACTTTCTTCTTCTTTTTTGGAGCTTTGGAAGCATTAGAAGATCCTTCTGTCCCCTTTAGTGGAAGAACCCCAGTTGGTGTAGAAAAGTCAATCGAAGCCAAGTATTGCAAAAGAATATGATTTTTGGGATCAAAAAGCTTGAGTATCGCATCTGTTGGGTTTTAGTATACTACAACATCCTATGGTGCACATACAACCCTAAAAGCTTTGGATCTATGTTTTCTCTAATTATACATGCATATGGTTTCCAAAGATTTAAGCCTACAACTAGCATACAAATAACATATTTATCAAAAGACAAGTTTTAGACATACCTCTTGATGTTGTTGATGTTGCTAGAAAAACTTTGGCCTTTAAGAACTTAGTGCCCCAAGTGTTGCACCTCAAATGGAATCACAACTCACCTAGGACAAAGGTGACTCTTGAGAGAAAATTTCCATGCACCAAAACACCTCCATGAACTCCAAGAACTAGAAGTGGCGGTTTTAGGTTATTGAGCTTATATTTATATGTAGGATTCCAAGAGTCATGGGTATAGCCCAAATCCATACCCATGGGTTTTATGATCCATCGTTCATGTGGCCCAACTCTTTATGTATCCATACATAAACTTAGTCCAATATGGATCATAAGCCCAACACATGTAAATATAACCAATTACCATAATTAGTCCCCATAGATTTAATTATTCTCTTTTGATCACTAAATTAATTCCAAACTAATTCTTGATCAATGTCACACCCCCGAACCGTCAGAATGGACGGCGGAAACGTCCGGGGGCGGGTGACGTCATGCATAGTTTCACAACAATCGTATCATAGTAATCAAAGTAAACACAACCAAACATTGAATACATACATGAAAAAGGTTTACATAGTCTTAGTACATAGTTTTATACATATCAAAGTAAAATGAAAAGACGAAATTCTATCGCGCATACTTCTCCAAAATCCTGGAAGTACCTGTCTACAAATTCCTGAGAATACAAGCAGTTTGAAAGAGTATCAGCATAAAGCTGGTGAGTTCATAAGCGTTATGTTTTAGAAAACCATTCTTTATTGTTTCAAAAATATACGCTATGTTTCTCCCGAAAACCTTATATTTTCTGATATAATGAATGTTAAGTAAAAATGATTCCTTGATCCTTTGAAAAGTGTTTCCCAAGAAAATCCTATATTTTCTTATGGAAGATGTTTGATTATCCATTAGTTATTTGTTAAACAGTCCGTTTATGAAAGGTTGAGTTATCCCAGGAAAAAATCCTATATTTTCCCTAAAAGTTGATAGTTTGTTATCTTTTCTTGTCTGAGGTGTACAAGTATCTACCATACTTGTATCGTTAGACGTAGTTTTCTTGAAAAACCTCGTTTTCTCCTTGTGAGGTGTATTAGCCTTATTACATAAATAAAACTAAAGAATACGATATGAACTAAATCCTAAGAGTATTATTAATAACTATTAGTAGTCAAATCGGTTATTACTTTGAAATTAGTTCACTTGTTTCATTATTACAAAAGTAAATTACTGTTATCTAGGTTGTGAGTGTCATAACCGTACTTAGACTTGATACGGCACGTAACGGGGCCAATATCTTTTTATGACTTTGTCACCCGTATACCTTCCGGTCCGACTGTAGCTAGCAGCGAGGTGCGAGATTGTCAGTGCCGTATAGATCTATACACAATAGTCACGTTCTCCCTACAAGAGATTCTGGTTACAAGTGCTAATCCTACACCCAGTTTCTGTGGGGGTGTTACCAAGGACGTGTCTCCAACTTTAGACTAACAATTTGTATGTAATAATACTGATAATCCTGTTTAAGATTTGTATGAATCCTTTATAAAATAACACATTTTACGATATGATTCACGAATTCGTTGCTTTAGTTTTGAAAACTGTTTCTACGAGTTGATTTCTTAATCGTTTGGTAAAACTGTTTTCTGTGTTAAAAGCATTCTAAACATATAGTTATCTTAAGCAAAATAATATATTTTGAGCACAAGTTTCCTTGTACTTTTGCTTGTATTCCCCCCTGAAAACATGGAAAATTCGGAAAAAGCGTAGGGGTATGAACTCACCGTTTGACGTGGGATTCGAAAGTAAGTTGCTAGGAATTGCTAAGTGTCAAATAAAGCCTCGGGCACAAACGGATCCTATTTAGCATGTAAAAGTACATATATGTATCAGGTGAGGCCATAACACTATTTGTTATGGAAGGAAATCATCCTAGGGTCTAGGAAACACTTGAAACTAAGTGTTAGAATCGCATGTGATTTGAAAATAGGGAGTTTGCGGCCGTAAAAGGAGTGTACGGTCAAGGGTTTGCGGCCCAACAGAGTTTACGACCCATGGGTTTACGGCCCATGAGTTTACGGCCGTAAACACTCGAAAAAAATGTGACTCGTGGCATTTCTAATTCCTTTCTAGCCTCTTGGAAGTGTTCTAAGTCCCATGTCTGGCTTAAGGAAGGGTTTAAGACCAATAATTGACCAAAACTGGAGTTATCGGCCAATGAAGGGTGTACGGCCGTACACATGGTTTACGGCCATAAACCCTCTGTGTTCATGCATTTCAGGTCGATTTTTAGGCGAAAATCGATGGTTTCTAGTAGATATCAAGTATAGGGAGTAGTTACTTACTGTTGAGAGGTTTGGAATGAGGTTTTTAGCCACCAAGAACTAGTGTGTGTTCTTGGTGTTCTTGGTGAGAGAGAAAATCTAGACAAAGATGAGATTTGATGAGCTAGGAACATGGATTTACCACTAGATAGAGGAATGAAGCAACAAATAGAGGTGAAAAATACTTACAACTTGAAGATCTTGGAGAGAATTCGATGGTAGAGAGAGAGTAGAGAGAGAAAGTCTCTTGAGTGCTCAAAGTGTGGAATGAAGGCCACTCATCCCTTATATAGGGGTGAGTTTCCGGCCATGGGGTGGGGTGGGGGGTGTACGGCCGTAAACTCGAGGTTGCGGCCGTACACTCCTCTCGAAGGGGTGTTTGGCCCGTATGCTATGCTTTGACTTTGAAAACCTCGTTTTTGAATCCAAAACTCGATTGAACCGAGCTTAGAATATTCCGTTAGACCAAAAAGAATACTAACGTGAACGGAAATAAATCTGAATTGATTTATTTATTTTTAACGGTATAAACGGAAGAAAGTTCGGGTTGTCACATCATCCCCCCGTTAGAGGGAATTTCGTCCCGAAATTCAAGAATAATGACACAACTCGTGGATCTAAAAGAGATGGGAGTACCTCTGTTTCCTTGGGTTCTCGTGCTCCCAAGTGAATTTCAAGTTCTTGATTGTTATCCCAGGGAACTTCCACTAACCGAATACAACGTTTGTTTCGTGCGCTAGACTTCCTGATTGCCGAGTTCAATGATTCCTACATGAAGTGTAGATTCTCGTGGAATTCGATATTTTCGAGGGGAATCGCGAGTCTCTCATCGGGCAGACACTGATTTAAGTTCAACATGTGAATGACGGAATGTATGTTACTAAGTTCTCTAGGTAACTTGCAACTCAGTCGGAGGTAATGATTACAGGTATACTATGAAAACGGATTACTACTGTATTTACTATTCTGATTTGTGAATGATGTGTAGGTTGGACTTGCCTGACCACGTTCATCCAACTGGTAGGATGTTCTTTCGTAGTTCTGAGCAACCTTTGTCCTTGAGTTAATGGTAGGACTTATACCTGGTCCGTTTATCATTGCCTTATGTACACAAGTCGTATATAATTAAGATTAATAAGACGGTCGGATGGGTGTCACTGCCCCAGGTCCACAACCAAACAAGGAACAGGAGATAGGGCGGAAACACACATCCTAAGTCTGCAGGATCTTAATTATACACCACCCTCGCGTGCACATTTAACATTGATAGGCTAACCGTATGCGTCCCTAGCCTCTGT